CAGGGATGGTTCAATATATGTAAGTCAATAAATGTCATAAATCATATAAATCTGCTCAAAGACAAGAACCATATGGTCATCTCAATAGATGCAGAGAAAGCCTTTGACAAAATTCAATATGTGTTTATGTTTAAAGTCCTAGAGGGAACTGGGCTGGAGGGAACATACCTCAACATAATTGAAGCCATATATAACAAACCCACAGCCAACATCATTCTAAATGGAGAAAAACTGGAATCATTCCCACTGAAATCAGGAACCAGACAAGGCTGTTGACTGTCTCCACTTCTCTTTAACATAGTGCTTGAAACTCTTGCAAGAGCAATAAGACAAGAGCAGGAAATTAAAGGAGTAATTGGAAAAGAGATGAGATTATCCCTTTTTATCAGATGATATAAGAGATGCCAAAAATTTCACCAGAAAACTTCTAGAAATTATTAACACATTCGGTAAAGTGGCAGGTTACAAAATTAACCTACAAAAGTCTGTAGCCTTTCTGTATACCAATAAGAAGCAATCAGAGAAAGAGCATATGGAAACACTCCCTTTCACAATAGCTGAAAAAAAAAATCTCGGAATCAACCTGACCAAATACATTAAAGACCTCTACAATGAAAATTTTAAATCTTTAAAGAAAGAGATTGAGGAAGACATCAGAAGATGGAAGGACCTCCCATGCTCATGGATTGGAAGAATTAAGATTGTGAAAATGACCATCCTACCAAAAGTCATTTATAGATTCAATGCAATGCCAATCAAAGTCCCCATGACATTTTTCACAGAAATGGAAAAAACCATCCTGAGATTCATATGGAAGCACGAAAAACCTCAGATAGCCAAAGCAATCCTGAGCACTAAGAGCAATGCCGGGGGGATTACTATACCAGATTTTAAGCTGCATTACAGAGCTATAGTCATAAAAACAACATGGTACTGGCACAAAAATAGACCCATAGATCAATGGAACAAAATTGAAGACCCAAATATGAGTACATGCAATTTCAGCCACCTGACATTTGACAAAGGTACCAAGAACATTTACTGGAGGAAAGACAGCGTGTTTAGCAAATGGTGCTGGCAAAACTGCATCTTTCCCTGTTAAAGAATGAAAATAAACCCCTATCTTTCACCGTGCACAAAAGTCAATTCCAAATGGATCAAAGACCTCAATGTAAAGCCTGAAACTCTGAAACTGTTAGAAGAAAACATTGGCAAAAACCTACAAGATATAGGTATAGGAAAGGATTTTTCTAAAGCGGACATCAATTGCTCAGGAAAGAAGGGCAAGAATTAACAAATGGAACCTCATTAAACTAAAAAGCTTCTGTACATCAAAGGAGCCAACCAGCAAAGTGAAGAGAAAACCCACAGAATGGGAGAAAATCTTTACCAGTGACACATCCAGAATATATAATGAATTCAAAAAACAGAGAATCAACACAGGAAGTAACCCAATTAAAAGAACGGCTAAGGAGCTGAACAGAGAGCTCTCAAAAGAAGTAAAGATGGCTAAGAAGCATATTACAAGATGTTCAGCATCACTAGTAATTAGGGAAATGCAAATTAAAACCACTTTAAGATTTCACCTCACCCCAGTCAGACTGGCTAAGATCAATAAAACAAATGATGCCTAATCAACACAGGAAGTAACCCAATTAAAAGAACGGCTAAGGAGCTGAACAGAGAGCTCTCAAAAGAAGTAAAGATGGCTAAGAAGCATATTACAAGATGTTCAGCATCACTAGTAATTAGGGAAATGCAAATTAAAACCACTTTAAGATTTCACCTCACCCCAGTCAGACTGGCTAAGATCAATAAAACAAATGATGCCTAATGTTGGAGAGGATGTGGGGAAAGGGGAACACTCATCCACTGCTGGTGGGGCTGCAAACTTGTTCAACTCCTATGGAAAGCAGTGTGGAGAACTCTAAAAACTACAAATGAACCTAGCATTTAACCCATTTATACCACTCCTTGGCATAAACCCTAAAAACTCATCCTATTGCAGAGACACTTGTACATCCATGTTTGTTGCTGCTTTTTTCACAATAGCCAAGAGATGGAAGCAACCTAATTGTCCCTCAATTGATGAGTATTTAATGAAAGTGTGGTTCATTTATAGGATGGAGTTTTCAGCAGTAAAGAAAGATGAAATCATGAAATTTGCAGGTAAATGGATGGAACTAGAATCTGTTATACTAAGTGAAGTAACACAGACTCAGAAAAAAAATCTACATATGTTCTCCCTCATATGTGGGTCCTAGAACCAAATCCTGATAAATGAATATGTATCCAGACACAACTACAGGAACCAGGATAATGGAAAGGAAACAGGGAGGTAAAGGAAAAGAAAGAACCTGAAAGAGAACAGTAGGAAACAGGCATTAATAAGGGAGATATGGATAAAAATTGGGTTAGTTTAAGGGAGGGGGGGGAGGGAAGGGTATACAAGGAACCTAGGGGATAAAAGGAAAGAAAGAGCTCAAGAGAGGTAGGACCATAGGATAAAGGTATTATTAAGGGAGAAAAGGGGGAAATGGGGCACCTTAATTGGGGAAACCATGATGGAGGGGTTAGACAATATGAGAGATAAATAATGCCTAGCTAGTTTTAAAATCCAGAGGGAACCATATTAGTCCAACAACCTACTAACAAATTATGCATACCAGATTAAGAAATACATATCTAGTCAAGGTTTATCTGACAATGTTTGGCCTTTTCCCAAGATTTATTTGTGTAGCACACAGTAATTAAAAGTACCAGACTGGTGGAATTAACCTTTTAGAAATTTAACAGACATACTTTGAGGCCTATACTAATTTGTTCAGAGGGACATAAAGGACAGTTTTTGCTTCTTGCCCTCCTAGTTCGACTAGTTCCAGGGGACTATGAGCATCTTTCAAAATGTCCTTTAATTGTGGTGGGTCACCTGTCCTCTTGATCAAGGAGGCCAAGTAAATCCCATGAGATGGAGTTGAACCAGTGTCCAGTCTACAAAGAGGAGGGTCAACACAGAGGAAACATTTCCTCCAAGGTTCCAAGTGAAGCCAGCCATGGTCGAACAGAAGTTTTGACTTATCTTCCCATAGACGGTACTGGTAAAAGAAAGGAGCCAGGGGCTCCTCCCAAGCCCATGTGACCCCTGAAGAACAGATCCTCAAGCGGCCTTAAGAGTGAAAATAAATTGGTTTATCTGGGCCAACTGTATGGCCTTTAACACCCAAAAGGAAAGTTAACCAAAGACCAAAGGGGCCAATATAATTTCTTAAGAGTCCATATGCATAGCTAAAGGCTATGTAACAAGCAACAATGCCAGATAGGAGATACCTTCTTTTGAGTTGTTGCCCAGGGTGGCCCAAGAGACTCCCAGATAGTAACCCAGCATAGAACTGGGAACATGAATAGCAGACCCCAATCTTATCTAACAGAATATTGACAACTGATTGCTGCTAGATGAGGAACAGCTGACCCTCCTAAAACAAAGACCTCTAGATAGGCTGACTAGATTCACCAGATGGACAAGTAGTGGGGAATGGCTGGGGGTGCCGACAACACAGCAGACAGTAGCAGGGATATCAGAGTATAAGGGCTCTAGTGGGGGGAGGGAGGCTATGGGAGGGTGTTATCTGGGAAGTGAGTGTACAGTTGACTAAGATGGTTTGGTACTTTCTGTGTGATATACACACAAAAAATTTAAAAATTATATTTGAGGAGGAACCATAAAAATTTACATCATGTTAATTAGTAGAGGTGATGAACATTACCATTGAAATCTACCCGATAACTTTATAGACATACACAGGTGCCAAGGACCAGAGTACAACCGATTATGACTAGTAATAATCAGAGTAGAGATGCATGTGCCAACATCTCTGTTATTAGCAAAAGCAATGAGTCTTTGTGTAAGAAACAGTATATTTTAAAATGAAATGGAGATCTTTTTTCAAGGTTAAAAACTCAATTTTATGTCTTATAGGGCTTATACTGAGTTCAATATTGTATAATTATTAATTCAACAGTGAACCTAAAAATTTTATAGCCACTTTTGAAAGATGTATCTTTTCTCCGGAAACTATTATTGAGTATGTTAAAGCTGTAATGAAATGCTTATTCTAAAACAATTTAAAATATAAAATAAAATAAAAAAACTTTAAAACTCTTGACTTTTTAAAAAGCAGAAGAGGGCATGAAACCCCACAATATGAGAGAGAGAGAGAGTGTGTGTGTGTGTGAGAGAGAGAGAGACAGAGACAGAGAGAGACAGAGACAGAGAGAGAGAGTGCACTTACACAGAAGAGGACATGGGATCCCTCACAGTTGGGCTGCCTGTTAGGTGGGTCCTGGGATCCAACGTTCCGTCCTCATGATTGCGCAGCAAGCACTCTTCACCCAGCCTTCTCTCCAGCCCCCGCACCTTTCTCTAAAGTACTTACCGTCCTTAAACGTCAGTGTATCAGAGGAGCAGTTGCATTGTAGAGATCCAGATTTAAGGTACGAACTTTAAAGTGTCAAGTGCCATTTTGTGTGGAAACAGCATCTCTTAGTGTTTGATGGCACTTAGGATTTGTCTGAGAGGATGTTTTTCACGGTGATGACCTCTAATAAGCTGTCCCCCACCCCTGTGTCTTTCCAGATCACACACCCTGCTGGCTGTATGTCTCAGTTTATTAAGTTCTTTGGAGAGCAGATCCTCATTCTTTGGAAGTTTGCCTTACTCCGAAAGCGCATTTTGATATTTTCTCCCCCACCCGTGGGTGTTGTGTGCTACAGAGGTAAGTAGAAGCCCAACTTGGGATCTTCCTAAGCGCCAAGGGCATATGCTTGAGCCCTTCCCTTGTTGATCACTTTGGAAAAAGTTTGGGCCATATCGATGGGATCAAGGCTTTAAAAAAGCCTGGGAGTGACCTGACTGGACCTGCATTTTTTTTTTTTTTTTTTATTAGAAGAAGCATTTCATTACAACAGCATTAACCTATTCAATAACATTTTTCTGAGCTAGGGTATATCTCTTTCAAAATTGGCTGTACATTTTTAGGTTTACAGATGAATTATTACGCTTATACAATCTTTTACTCATTATAAACTCTATAAGACATAAAATTAAATGAGGTTTTAACGTTTAAAAAAGATCTCCACTTCGTTGTTAAAATACACAGTTTCATACAGAAAAATTCATTTTAAGGCAATTGACATTGAGACGTTTTCACATGCATTTCTAATCTCTCTATATATATGACTATTACTGGTCACAGTCACTTACTTTCTGAGTTCCTTGGCATCTGAGCATGAATATAAACTCATCAGATAGACAGCCTTCCTCTCCCACTAGAGCCTCCATACTCTGCCATCTCTGCCACTGTCCACTGTGCTGTCAGCACCCCCATCCATTCCCCCTGTCTGCCCTTCTGGTAAATCTAGTCAGCCAGAGGTCCCTGTTCCAGGAGGATCAGCTGTTCCTCATCTACGGCAATCCATTGTCAGTATTCCTTTGGATAGAATTGGGGTCTGCTGTTCATTTTTCCTGTAGTATGTTGGGTTACTGTCTGGAAGAGCCTTTAGACAAATTATACATAACAGATCAAGAAATATATCTCTAGATAAGGTTTATTTGAGACCAACTGGTCATTACCCAAGATTTATCTGCAGGACCTGCATTTTAGAATGTAGTCTGAAGGTAATGAAGGTGGATGGGGACACAGAAGGTCAGGGTTAAAGCAGCAAGGATGGATTCTAGATGCTTAAGAGATAAACTGGGTGGGGTTATGTGGCGTGTAAAGAGTCTGGGATGACAGGATGATGGGGCCACCAAAATGGGGTACCAAGAGGGCGATGAGGGGTGGGTTTGGTAGGGGGTTAACTTGGGACATGATTGTATCAGGACCTCTGGGGAACAGTTGAGTTTGAGAGTGACATAAAGCCTCTGATGATCATGGGATGGATGGGATCACCTGGAGAGCAAGTGAGGAGTGGATGTGCCAGGGACAGAGGAGGCTGGAGGACCACACAGAGGGTACAAGGTTACACTAAGCCGCAGCCTGGAGAAGGGAGAAAGAAGGTCAACAGAATCAAATTCTAAGCAAGGCCCATGAAGGAGATTCAAAACGTCTGTTTGCTTACATGATCTTCAGATCGGGTTCTGGGGTGGGGGCCCAAAAGATCTGTCAATAGCACTTGGTACAAGACAGGTAGCATAGCCAAAGCCCTCCTCAGCTTCTGAATCAACTTCCCATTACCATAACAAAATGTCTGAGGCTGGAGCATTTATAAGAAAGGTTTATTTTGGCTCATGGGTCTGGCATCTGCTCAGCTTCTGATGAAAGCCTCATGGTGGAAGAGTAGCATGGGGAGAGAGCAGGCTCACTTCATAACCTACTCTTGAGGTAACTGAGCCACTGTTCTCAAACTACATTAAACCTTTCATGAGGGTGGAACCCGCATGACCTAATTCCCCATTAAAGATACTGCACCTTTCAGTATTATGACACTGGGGATCAAGTCTCAACATGTGTTTGACAAGGGAAAATATTAAATTGTAGCAGCGTCCCTGTAGAGCCAACTGTTTAGAGGTGTTGACCAGCAATCTTAGGTAGAGGAGGGGACACGAGGGCAGTCACCCCCCTTACCATCACTGCTCCACTCCCCCAGTATACTGTTGCTGCTGCCTGGCCAACGTCTCACTTCCTGGCATCGGGGGCACCATCCCTGAGTCCAAACCCTTTTTCTATGTGAACGTGGCTGACATCGAGAGCCTGGAGGTAGAGATGTCCTATGTGGCCTGTGAGTATGGGGCCCTCCCCTCCGCTTGCCTGTTTCAAGTCCTTCTCCTGTCAGACATGGGCTCCTGGACTTCGATTTCCTAGCAGGGTTGGGCTGGCTCCCTTTGTGACCCCTCCAGGTTCTCACCCGTTAACCTTTGGATTCCAAGGCACCACAGAGAAGATCTTTGAGGAGAAGCGAGAGCTGTACGATGTCTATGTGGATAACCAGAATGTGAAGACTCACCATGACCACCTGCAGCCCCTGCTGAAGATCAACAGTGCAGACAGAGAGAAGTACCGTCGGCTCAATGAGCAGAGGTGAGGCAGCCAGTGCACCATTTCTGTGCCATATGCATGGCATGCGTGCTGACGGGCATGGGCCAGGGCTATGCTGAAGGATCAGAGGCTGCCAGGGGGCTTGGAGAGCTCCACCCTCCTCGGGATGGCCCTGGGAGATGTCCGAGAAGCCTGTGCTGCTGCCCGCTTCTAGGAGTGGTGTGTGTGCTGGGAGCTGGAAAGGAAGGGCAGTTCTGTATTTCAGGAGGTTGGGGTTCCCAAGTATTGTGCTCACAGCCAGATATGGGTTGTTTCTGGTAGGCTTTGGAATCCGAAGCTCAGTGAACGAACAGCTACACTAGCTTCTAGATACTCCCCAAATGATCGTTAGATCTGCCTGTGTGCTTAGAACAACCATTTGAGTATCTACAGTGTTGATTCATATTAGAAACTTGTCTATACACTGTACATGTAACTCTATGTTTCGGTTATTCTGTGAGACTGAGGGTTATCACTGTCACTCCCGTGTGGTGCATAATTGGGGAACACGGTCACTTACCCAAGGTGACCACTGGCAAATTAATAGGGTCCTGCATTTGAGTCCAAGCTCTGTTTCTTCTGTTCCTGTCCCTTTCTCCATGCCTATGGATGGGCACCTATGCTTGTTGGTGCTGCTTCCTGAGAGGTGGGGCCAGTGTAAGTGCTTGGTTGTTGCTGAGTATGTAACTGGGTCCAGCAGCTGGCAGAGTCTGACGCTTTCTCCTTCCCAACAGGCAGATGCTGCTGTACTCCCAGGAAGTCGAAGGTGACTACAACCCTTGTGAAGAGGACCTCTTTGTACTGTGAGTTGCCCTGGGCAGCTGTGGGGCCTTGGGGATCCTTCAGCGCGGCCCCCTCCCATGCCACCGACTGCCATTCAGATGTTCTTTACTGCTCCCAGGGCTCTCAGAGCTGGGCTCCTTGCAGAGGTAGCCTGAACCCCACAAGGCTATGAGGACAAACCCAGAGCAGTTAAAGAAGCAGCGGCAGGTCACAGAGAAAATGGGGTCCTGGCCTAGTCATTCTGATGAACATTTTATACCCGGGATGTTACCACATAGCACAAAGAATCACTCTATTCAGAGTAAGTAATGAACACGAGGTTCCTGAGGGACAGACAGAGCTAAGTATTAAAAGAGCTGAAAGTTTACCTCATCAAAGTATATAATTTCTCTGCTCTAGATCTGTTGGTAGCCAGGGAGAGGGCTGGTCCTTCAGCACCTATTCCTTTCAGATAGCCACAGGAAGTCCTGTTCCAGCTTAGAGCAGAGTTGTAATTGAAGTAAACAAATTCCTCAGCTTCCTGTTTGGTCTCCTGTGCTAGCTGCTGGGAGGGGCCTAGAATAGAACACTTGAGTTCAAAGTGTGTACTGAAGACTTTCCCACAAAGGTTTAGCTGTTTCTGAGTGTACTTTCTAATGCATGCATGCTGTGTGTATGGGTAGGTCATCGGGAACTTTGCATAGCCACAGTCTTGTCAAGATGCGACACACCATGGGATCAAGTCTTGAGCATCGGGAGCTGCCTTAGGCACTCTGTGGACCCCGGCCCTGAGCAGCAGAGCTGCATGAATGCCTTTCTAAACACAGCTCCTTTATCCATTCAGTGCTACTGTAATGCTGTGGTTTTTAATCTTGCTCCCTATGTAATTCTTAACCTGACTCCAAAGTACTTGAAAGAGAGCAAGCACCCTGTGGTGCTGTGGGCGGCCGATCTTGGTGGATGTCGCTTACCTTCCCTCTGTGCCTGCCACCTTCCCTTAGAATGCTGCTGGCTTCTGGTTTGCCCCATGCCTGCTGCAGCTCCTCTGAGAATTCCCTTTCTGTGTAGTGTTGGCCTCCCAGGGCTGCAGGGTCAGTGCCCAGCCCTCTGCTCCCGAGTGAGGCTCCTTGGCTGAACTTCAGGAGCCCAGTCAGGGCTTTGAAAAATGGGCATTTCAGATTCTCACTTGAAGTCTAGGCCTCATGACTGCATTATCTATCAGCTGTGGGCTTTCAACACTCCCCTCCCCCATGACTAAGCAGAGGGAGAGAAACAGTCTGTGGAGCCTCTCCCTGAGGCTGTGTTCAAACCACAAGAATAGTATCAGCAGTCAAGCCATCACCCACTCAGATTTCTCTATCACATGTGATTCTTGCCAAGCTTATTCACATTTTAATAACCATTTAACTTTTACCCTGTTTTCTTCCGAGTTTTTAAAGTTATTGTTGAAGCCTTACCAGAGCATCCTGATTTTCAGTTCTGTACATATGGATTGTCTACTGAGTTTTTTGTATCATCTTCCCTCCCTTTTCTGTTTTGGGAATGCAGGTTTTTCTTAGAGCAAAATAACCGGATTTTTCAGACTTTGATGGAGGTGTCTGCGAGTCAAGACAAAACTCTAACTGCAGAGCATGCCCGGGGTATGGGCCTGGACCCCCAGGGAGACAGGGGCTTCCTTATGGACCTGCTCGAGGCCTATGGCATTGATGTCATGCTAGTGATTGACAACCCCTGTTGTCCATAGGAAGAGTGACATAGGACTGGTGAGACTCGCGCGGTGACACTCCAGGACCCCAGTGGCGTTGGTTTTGTATGAAGCTGACAAAAAGGACTCTTTCTATCCTCCCACACATGTAATTTTTGCCATTTCCTTTCTTCCTGTCTCCTGGGTTGAAGTGTGACTGCCTTGACTTCGAATCCTGCCTTGGTTGGGAACTGGAATCTACCAATCTACCACTGTCTTCCAGAGCTGCCTGTTCTCTGCGGTCTTAGTTCTATCAGTTCAAGTGGGGTGAACTGTGGGATGAGCTGCTCACAAAGTTTGTATGTCCCCTGGTACATAGAATAAGGCAACCAGGTGTCCAGTGTTTATCTGCCTAAAAGCAGAAACTAATCAGGTAACCTTTCAAGGTCACAGAGTTCTAGGAGTCAGCAGCGTTGGGATCACCTGTTAGGGTAAGTCTGTGTCTTCTCTGTTCACTTGATTAGGGACCACTGCGCACTAAATGTGACCTCCTCTAAGGATGTAATGGCAGGGGGAGGTTGTTTTATGAGTCAGCTGAAAAACTAGAATGAAGCCTTGAAATCCTTAAAATAAGGGAATGGTAGCTACTAAATGGAATACTCCCTACCCCTTTGGGATGGTTTGGTATTCCTAAGGTTGGTGTTTGGCCCTGGAGCTTACAAGCAGATTCATTTGAGTCTCTTTTAAGGGTTGATCATCTTGGAGTAACTTGGGTGGAGTTCATGCAGGAGAGGGAAAAAGTGCAAGTTTCTCTGACTTTGCATAGACAGAGCCAGTGGATTCTGAAATGTAGCCAGGTTCTGGAGCTAGTTGACTCCAGTTAGAACATGGTATTAATAGGACTGTTTACCGGTTTGGAGGTCTTGAAAACATCCCTTTAGCAGAGGCAACATTCCTTAGGCTAAGCAGTTGCATCCAGGCACCTCATAGATCTGACAGGGAATATCTGATAGTACCTTGTCTTGAGAGTGGCTGGAAATCTGAGTGTCAGGAACCACCGTGCTTGCATTCTGGATCCTATAGTCATCCTTTCTGGGGTGCTGGATTACTTATGGCTGCAGTTTAGGTAAGAGGACAATTGTCAGTCAGAAAGCCAGGTCCCATGCATAGAATCTAGTTGTGTTTGACTGAGATACCTGGTTGTTGGGAATGGGCTCTTCTCCGGCACCCTCCCGCCTGGTTGTATTATGGGAATGGCTGACTATCAGGCATCTTTAAGGCCAAGAAGTAGCCAGGCTAAGATGGGCCAAACATCTTAATTCAGGTGTTTTCACTGTAGCTCATGGATAAGGAATTCAAGAGTGTGGATATAAATGCAAATAGATAAAAATAGACACTGATGAGTCAGGGTCACATCTTCTGTGTAAATATGTAAGGTTGGGCATCATCAGACTGTACAACTAACAGATTTGCCCTCTGCATTGTGGGTTTAGCCATCATTCCAGTAACATAAATGTTTACAAAAACCACAGCTGTGCTCAGTGGCTGAAGTTTCACCTGCGTTGTGTTTGTGGCTGCCCTCTCCTTTTGCCCACAAGGCTGAGCAGGGACCTTCTGAGAAGGGTCAAGTAATGTTCCTTCCAGTTATCTTCAAGAGCTCAGGGTTTTCTAGGTTTGGGTAGGCAGGCAGAGATAGGCATAGGAGTAAAAGAAGTCTGCCTCTCCTAAGGAGCCAGCAGACCCTCTTTCTCTGAAACTAAAGGAGTTGCTGGACAAACCCATTTCTAAGAGCCACCTCAGAGTCTTCTGCCTGTGTGCCAACACTGCTGTTTCTGGCCTGTTGTAACTGCAGGCTGAGAAGTGCTGATGTAAATGTAGCAAGGGGGTTGTCCTTTGCGAGTCAGGGCTTGAGGCTCTTTTTAACTAGGCAGCCACCTTTCTGGTATCTCCTGTGTCCCCCTCATGTTCATGCAGAGTTGGGGTCCCAGAGGTGATGCCATAGGCCTGGGCTTAGCTGACCCTGGAGCAGAACTTGTTCAGCATTTCCTCCAGTCCTTCCCACCTTGCCAGCTTCCTCCCGGGCCAGACCCGGTAGCCTCTGCTTGCCTGAACAGCATGTGTGTTAGCGCCTCGTTAGCACCTCAGCAATGTCTTCTTCCAGCTATGATCCTCAGAGCAAGTACCTGGAAGTGAAGGCCCAGCTTCCTATGGCACTTTTGAAGCCTTGCTTAGTACCACACAGCTCCCCCGAGTGGCAGTTAGCAGACACAAGCCAGTATCATGCTGCCAGCTCCCCGCAGTACAGGGTGAGGTACTACGTAGAATTCCCTCTTCAGTGATGGCAGAAGCCGGGAGCAACATGGACCTGCATTTGTCATTTGTGAATTTTTTGAAAAACCATCTGCTTTTGTTTGGAGGACGTTGGTACAAATCCTTCACAGCTTCCTAGGTCTGTACTCAGCAGGGACAGGCTTTTTTCTTTTTTTTAAAATTACTGACCTCCAGGAGCAGAGCTGAAAACTTAGTTGTCAGTCTTGTATTCTGCTGGTGGCCCTCACTGGGCCCCTGCTAGGCTGGCAGAAGAGCCCTTCTGGGGAACACTAAGCCCCATCTGTGCCATGTTGTGAATCATGTGCTAACCTGGAAATAACATGCTAACCTGTGATGCTGACCTGTCTGATCATTCTTAAGTTAGAAATTCCTGATGGCAAAAACCCTTGAGGGGCCTGGAATCCACATTCTGGATTTGTGGACATCCATATTAAGTATAACAAAGGCCTCTTAAAGTAGATGCTTTCAATTATGTAGGTTTAACAGATGGTAAGACTCAACCAATTGTTGCCAGGTTTAGGACTCTTTCTCCAGAAATAAAAAAATAGCAGTTTCTCTCTTACCAGACTACAAAATAGGGCTAAACACTGTTTGGTATTAGCTCTGGCTTCAAACATGAAGCCTTCCTTATGCTGGGCATGGATCCATTCCAACATCAGTGTCCTGCCCGGGGCCTGTATGGTCCTTTCAGGAGTACTGTGAAATGAGAGGTACTTGCCTCCCCCCATACCCACCATCCCCTCTGGCTCTTTTCTTCCACTGGCTGTGGGAGAGAAGCTGAATTCATGGATAAGATAGATATGAGTCAGTACAGGAAGCATCTCTAACGTACCTTGCTGTAAACCACATGAAAATCACGACAAAGGAAGAGAACACTCAGATGCAGTGGTGCCAGACGGTACATGTGAAGGTCCACTTATGTAATTATATATTTTAGCTAGAAAGTAAAGGCAAATTAAATCACAGGTAACTCACTGTCTTCATTCTGATGGCTAGGGGGATGAACTTGCTATCTGTCTTGATGTACTGAAAGCTCATTAAATACAATATGGTGAAATGACCCTTCCACTGAGGCTTTCAGTGAGTTAACTTTTCAGTGGCAAACGCCACCCCCTTGAAGAGGCAGGGACCTCAGAACTGCTCTCTCGAAACTGAATGGATTGAGATGCTTTCTCCAGGCCCAGTGTAGATCATCCTTGGAGAGGCAAACGGGAGAAGAGGGTATGGATATACAAAACTGTAAGATGATGCTCAGCTTCATAGTGAACTTGACTTAACGTGAGAAGAGTTTGAAAATGAACGTGGAGCCCAACAAGCCCTCGGTGGGCTGCTGTCTCCTGTCAGCTGCAGGTCAGTGGCTGTGAATCAGAGCTATCAGCTCTTCCCCAGACCCTGTAGTAGTAACATGGCAAGGATCCCGCCGGCCTATAGCTTTACCTTGGCAGACGCAGTCATCCCTCAGTTCAGGAAAATCCTTTTCTGATTCAGGTAGGGGAAGAGTTAAGGGTACCTTTTATGCCCAAGTAATGGGCTTTTAGTATTCCATTGTTATTACAAATATACCTCTGTTCCCAGGAGCCATTGGAGTACTGAGTGTTGTGGGAGAAAAGGCGAACTGTGAATTACGTTAATGTTTTTCTTATGAGAAATGGAAGTTTATTTTTATATCAATGTTACTATGTGATGAATTGAGTATAAAAGTGTTGAAATGGAAGGAAATTTCAAAGCTATAATCCAAGGCGAAATGGGCAGCTTTGCCACTTGATAGCAGTGGAAGCCTTTAGAAGCTTCACCATCTGTGGTAGTGTTTTAAAGAGTAAATGAGGGCACTGGCCCGGGAAGGGTAAGACACAGACATTAACCTTCCATAAAATCCAGGACCAAAGAGGATAACTGTGGTCGTTCAATGACTCTTGCCTCCTGGTCAACTGGAGAGGGATGGGACGTAGTTTTATAACTGGCACTTTAATTCATGTTAGTGAGCTGGAAGTTAGGTGACATTGTCAATTTAGAAAGGGAATAGGGATTTCCTGGTGCTATATAGAGAAATGAAGATGGATAAATAAAATTCTGTTATCTTTTTAGAATTTATTCTAGAATTTCAACATAGCATCAGCTTTTAGAACTACGTTGACCTAAATTGAGAAAGTTTATTTAACACCCAGAGAGTAGGTGTGAATGACTTATGTTTGCAGTAGATGCCAGCTCAGACTAATGCTGAGTTAACTTTGCTTTTTGGGGACAGCTGGGGTCCACAGCATAAGCTAGGATTTTATAAACTGGGAAAAGATAGATCTGCAGAGAGGTAGAATTAGCTGGTTGCAGATACGGTTAGTTGACATTAAATTCGGGTACATTAAGTAAAGATAAAGTGGACTTTTCCATTTTCACTACTGATATACCTCTGTTCCCAGGAGCTATTGGCATATCTAAAACTTAGGAAAACCAAGTTTGGGTGTGTCATGCCCAAATCGGCCATCAGCGCAGCGGGGTTCTGTACTTCTGAAGGGCCGGGATGGGTGGCTATGGGGCTTAAGCTGGGAGGCAAACAAAACCCACTTTCTTTACTTGCCCAAAACTTGCTAACTTTTTAAAGACTGGAATACAAATCTCTCCTGAAAAAGAAATGTTATAAACTTAGAACCCCGTTTTCCTATTTCTTTCCCAAGTTACGCTCAGCATCCCTATTGCCTTAAGTGTAAAAATCCATTGTGCAGAATAACCCCGCCTAAGAGTTATAGCAATAAGAGAACCTGAATCTACGTTTCAAGGGTTTACCTCATGGCAAACTCGGAAAGACACTGCATAAGTTTTTCTGTGGATACTACTGCAGACAAGTATCGTAGTCTCTCTCTCCAATAGTTATGTACAGGCCTGAAGAAAGCCTGAGGTTAAGTGTAAATGTTTCTCAAATCGATCCTTTTCTGTGGTACAAATAACATCTGTATATATCTGAACTAAGTTGTGTGCAGAGATGTTAATAACTATATTTACAGAAAGCAATTTTTACAATTAAAGTTCACATTTTAACATGAATCAGTGTGCTGTGGTCCTTTACCTACTACAAGAATGCAGTTTGTGGTAGGAGGGAATGATGACGGCCAACCTCAGGGGCAGAGCCCAGGGGTGGAACGCTGCTTTCACAGGTGATTTGTAGGGAAAATGGGGTGCTGCTGCTGGTCCTTTGAGAGGCTATGGTAGGATAAACACTCTCCAGGTAACGGAAACTAAGTTTGAGGACCCAAGGCTACACAAACACCACAGGAAACTTCTAGAAGTTACTGTTTCATAAAATTTGTGAAAGTTTTCTTTAACATCATTATATACTGATACATATGTACATATGTATATACATAGTCTAAACTTTTATTTCTTTTTTTTCTCCTTTTGGGAAGTTAAACCAGTAGAGAGTGTGCTGTCACCATTGGCCACGAAGTCAGGTTCCTAGTTCCTCAGTGGGGTGGCATATGTAATAGTGCCCATGCCTTAGGAACGCTGTAAAGACTTAGCACTTTGTAATTGTGAAGCAAAGGAAAATTTGTACTAAGCTTTGTTTTACAGAAAGCATCTACTATATTTTACTATTTAAGAGGCTTGAGAACCTGTACTAAACAGGAGGGGCCTGGTTTCTCCTTTGCAGAGCTCTGCACAGCAGCTTTGCCTAGACGTTGTTCTTTTATAGCTATACTGTAAATGCCAAGCCCCCATAGGACATAGTTTGAATAAAGGAAACAAAGCATATTTATATACAACATTATCTTAATGTGGGTCAAATATCTGTCCCCAACCACATGGGCCATGATGGTTAGAGTCAGTAACTACACATACACACTGGCAGTGCTTTAAGAGATAGCTAGTTCTATACTAGGCCTCCATGCTGACAAAGAACCACAAGATCTACTTTTATTTTCTTACATCACAGCACCTCCTTTTCCCACCATAGCTAACATGGGATAAGTGACTAAGGCTGATCTTTGGATCATTCTGGTTTTTTTTTTCCCAAAGCAGCTTTTTACCACTACTGTAAGCATACAGTGCTAAATAGGCGACCTTGGTAATTCTGTGCTCTTCATTTCTGGGGTTTTTGTAGCCACTATATAATCCATTCAAGCATTGCTCTTCGCACCATATGAAACACTTGGTATATTACTGTTCTTAAATTTAATCCTCTGCTGAGGTTGGCCACCTCTTCCTCACTTTCCCTTTCTTACAAAGACAAAGCTATGTGTCTCGTCTCCTCTCATCCACTACAGTGCAGGGCCTCTAGAGTTCAAGGACTTCTGGGGACAGAACAAAGAAAATGTCCATAGTAGTGTTAAAAGCAAACCTTGCTAATGACCTGGCAGCAACTCCTTTGCAAGCCAGGTGTTTAGTTTTCTACTTACCACAAACTAAAGGAAGATCTCATTGTTTGTTAAGAGAGCATTATTAAAATTTGATACACAGCACTGTTTTTGTACCAATTCCTAACCAAATTCAAAGAGCTGTATGACATTATTATAATTCTTATTTTCATCTACTTTCTCAACATTTAAAAATGAAACAATATACCTGATGCTGGCCCTCCTTGTATTATAAATAATAACTGTATATCAGGTAAATGAACTAAAAAAGGACAGAGAACATTCTAGTAATTTTTGTTGTTGAAGACAGGGTCTCACTGTATCCCCAGCTGGCCTGGAACTCGCTACGTAGACCAGGCTGGCGTTGATCTCACAGCAATCTACTACTGTCCTCTGCTTCCTCCTGAGTGCTAGGACTAAAAGCATGTACCACCATGCCGAGCTAATAATATAATTTTTAATTAGCAAGGAAATGTTTTCATCAAATACATACCAATAATTATGAAAACATTTGTGCTGTAATAAGCTAGTACTTAACTAAAAATTTAGATTTCTATTTTTTTGGCTGATGAAAAGCAAATGACAAGGAGTGACGAGCATAAAATGTACTATAAGATCCTTTCACCGACAGTGGTACAGAAACTACACTCACAGGGAGAAAAAAAATAATTTAAAATTTTCAAATACTGAAGAACTAGTTCATTTATTTTTATAAATAAATGAGGGGTATCAAATTGCTGTGGTATTTAAATTACACTGGATATGTTTAAAAGAGTGATGCAACAGTTTTTATTTTTAAACATCAATATTTACATGACACTAGAGTACACTGGCAACTAGTTAACTTTCCATGACAAAGTTTAGATATCAACATGAGGGGTATGATACGTATTTGGGGAAAACAGTTTATGGAATACTGGTTTAAAACAGTTTCTCCAGGTAAGGTAGATTTACCTGGGGAAGGTAGCCTTTTAAAATGCAAGTTCCTAGCTCGATGCCAGGTTGAGTTACAAGGTGGGTCGCAGGTCAGTTTTCAGCATGCATCTCGGATGTACACATGCAAAGCAAGCAGCAGGAGCTAAAAAATTAGCATTTTACAATGCTTTAGCCATAGCTGAACAGAGAACCACCTCACATTCGCTTTTTGAGGACAAGCCAAAACAACAACTCACAAAGTAGCAGCACCCATGGGGGAGCCCAGAAACAGGGAAAGGCACCCAAAGAAGGCAGTTGCTCCCTTTGGGATCCCCAGGATGGTCAGAGAACAAAACAGGAACAGATAAGCTTAGTCTAAGGGCTCTACTCTCCACTGTGGCATGTTCTGGGGCCATCACAGAATTCCAGCCTTTTCCTACCACAGAGTATGAAAACTTCTTTGAACCAGCCTCAGAAAACCACTAGGTAGGAGGGGTCAACTGTCATACAAGGAAAGCATGGGTTAAGAGAACACTGATCACTGGTCAAGTGACAGGGTATGCTCTGGGAAGCACTGCAGAAGAGGTTAGGGGTTCTTGCCATGAAACTTCCCTTGGGATCCTCTGACGACACTGTGGGTCAGATGAGGCACCCATTCCCTTTTGGTCCCACTGGTGGCTTAAAGTGCAGCGTGGGAGTGCCCCTCACTTCTCTGTGCTCACTGCGATGCACACTGCAGCATCTGCTCCCTCTTCCTTGGGTCACAGAAGAACTGCAGTTTCCTGGGCAGCAGTTTCACCTCTACGGGCATTGCTTCATACTCTTCGCTGTCAATGCTGAAGGAGCCCTCTGTTCCCTGGAGGAAGAGAGGGTTCAGAATGCAGCTGTGTGGCTTGCTGTCACAAGAAAACATTTCTGCCTGGAGGTCTTATCCTACTGTTCTAACAAAACATTTCAGTGTCAACTACGGCACACAAAATCCTGGAAACATTTCAACTCTCTTCTACCTATGAAAAAGGATTAATTTTCTTTTTCAAGATTTCTATCTCAAAAAGTATTTTGGAGCTTGAAGTTAAATTTTAAAAATATTTATGGAGCTGGGTGTAGTGGGGCACTTGGGAGGCAGAGGTAGGCGGATCTCTGTGAGTTCAAGGCTAGCCTGGTCTACATAGTTCCAGATCAGCTGGGGCTACAGGGAGACCCTGTCTCAACACCAAAAAAAAAAAAAAAAAAAAAAAAAAAAAATTATGGGAAGACAAGGGCCCTGCCGCATGATACATATATGAAACTGTCAAAGACCTCATGTAATAAGGAAAGCACATACATCTCAAAGAAAGAAAGCAAAAAGAAACTTATAAAGATGTCATCTAGGGTCAAGGACTACAGTCTTTCTTAAACTGAAAGTGTCATGTCCACTGCATCTCTTACAGTATCCCTTGAGACGTGCTGAGCTATTGGGATGTGAGCATTAGTACATGAGACTCTGAAGCCCTTGCACAATGCATGCACGTCCTTCAGCATTTGCTCTATGATATGGTGGTGCCAGTCAAGTTTGTTTACGTAGTTTCAATGCGGTACAGTGGTATCATGGTCACAGCTCCTCAGAGGCCTGTTAATCTTTTCTGGGGTAGCACTAATCAAATTACCTTACAATTCATAAATCTCTACCTTTTCCCCTCCTACTTACATCGGTTATTAGTCTAAGCATGGCATTCTATAGTACAATTACGGAAAATGTTAAAATGAACTGCACTACACCAGTTAGAAAATTCTTCAGCTCATACATTATTCAGATTTTACATTTTCGGTATGAAAAAGTAAATGTTCTAGAGACCAAAACACTCAGTTTGAGGGAGAACCCTGACTTGAAGACTGGAGCCTCAGGAGGCCACGTCTAAATGGAGGCCTTAAAGGAGGCTCTGCTTCCCTTTTCTGGTCCCTTAATATAACTCAGACTTCAGGATTTTGCACACAGAAGGTGCCTAAAGGTCAGTCAGTGAGTAGAAGAGGAGGAGAAGGAAGCAGAAGGGAAGACAGAGTAGACAAGAGGCCCCAGCAGTGGGTCCACCTTACCTCAGGAAGTAGCAGAGTGCAGCAGCTGGCTTGGAGACACTCGGTGCCAGCCGCATGCAGCTCAGGGTCTCTCACCTTCCGACTTCTGTTGACACAGGAAAGAGAGACCTTCGATAGCAGCTGGATTAGAACACCCAAGTTCTCTCCCTCTAGACTACGAAGACTGGGGCTCAGTAAATCACTTTCGCTACAATGCGATACAGTCTAGACTGAGAAGACTGACTCGCTCTGGACAACTGTGCACGAAGTCAGGGCGTTTATCTGAATTGTTCTTTATTTAGACCTAGTTCTCAGGCTGTTAATGTCAAATTTTAAATTAGGATGTAATTAAGTTCTTTGAGAAAAGTTCTCTCAAACTTCTGTTATTTGGTCTTTTTTAGGATTTTTTTTTTTTTATTAAACAAAAAAGTAATTTTATTCTAATTTGGGGTAGCTATTTCTTTTTTTGTTGCTTTGTTTTTTGAGGCAGGGTCTCTCCATAGCCCCAGTTGGCCTAGAACTCACTACGTAGACCAGTCTCACAGAGATCTGCCTGCCTCTGCCTCCGGAGTGCTGGGATAAAAGGCATGCCCCCACCCCCGCCCCATGGTAGATATTTCTTTTATATCTATGAACTACTTTTAGATATTTTCTGATAATTCTCTATACATTAAAGCCTACTTAGTACATTTCATCTTGCTAAGTGGCTTTGGAGTAAAGCCATCAGACACGAATATGCACACATACTTGAGTTCATGCATATACCCTGTATGGCTAGTCAAGATACATAAAAAAAGAAAAAGGTGGCAGCAGGAGGATCAAGGCCAGCAAGACCTACTTAAGGAATCTGAAGCCAAGCAGGGCCATGAGATGCTATCTAAAGTAACAAAACTAACCTAAGTTTAAATAATAAATCTATTATTTATTGTTACTTGGAAACAGTAATTCTTCAGTATATGAAATGCTCATGGAGTTCCAAAAGCAGCTTCACCACATTCCATTCCAACACTCAGTGGGTACATAAATTACACAATTTTACTTCCTATAAGGACCAGAAGGAAACTTGCTGCAGCTCTTGAGGAGAACGCAGAACATAATGACATCACCTAACTTAAACAATGTAGCGGGGTTTTCTTTTTGTTTTGGATGTCAGCTTTAGAAATGAGATTTGAATACAGCTGAGCAGACTCAGTGAAGATGCCATGTGATTTCTGGACACTGTAGTGGGAGTAGCGAGGGGCTTTCTCTTTCTCGTTACTCCAGATACACAAGAGTAATCAAAGGCTGCAGAAGGAGCTATTCAGGATCTGAAGAATTTGTATCAAAGGCGAGAACAACACAAACTAATGAAAGCCATTCTGCTGCCAGTCCGGGAATGGACGATGATGCAGCCATGGAGACGCAGCTGCAGCTGCAGCAATGTCCAATCCCCAAACGGGCACGAGGGGGAGCGCCAAGACAAAGCACAGGAAGATGGAGCTGAGCAGATCACCAGTTGGCATGGGAACACGCCGTCTCCATAGATGCTTTGAAGCTGGCTGGAGGGGTTACAGTCTTCTTAGCCAATGAAATTCTGGCAGAGCTAGGACTTAACAAATCAGGCAGGGCTTGGAAGGGCAGTGTTGTGTTAGAAAAGAGAAAAAAAGCCTGGGAAATGTCCAGGGTGCGCAATGTCCTTTCAAGTTTCTCCTTAGTCCTCTGGGACTAGGAAGATAAAGCAAATTGGCAGGAACAGTAGGAGATACTGGCAAGTGCTGCACAATTGTAAAAGCCTCACTTGAGACTGACAGTCCTGAGATTAGCAGAGATGATGATATTCTTCCATTTATAGATGGGAAAGGATTCAGAAAAGCTTAATGACCTTAGTCCTAAGGCCAGCGAGTAGCTTATCAAGCTTTTGGACTCGAAACCAGAGGGTTTTTTTTTTTTTTAATTATTATTTTTAGGTGCATGAGTGTTTTGCTTGCATGTATGTAGGTACACCATGTGCACGTAAGTGCAGCACATGCATGCAAATCCGCCAAGACTAGAAGAGGGTGCCAGATTCCCTGGAACTGGAGTTAGGGATAGCTGTTAGCAACCATGTAGGTGCAAGGAACTGAACCCAGGTCCCCTGGAAGAGCAGTCGGTGCTCTTAACCACTGAGCCATCTTTCCAGATCTGAAACCAGAGTTTCTGACTCCATGCCTGAAACACTGAATCTTTTCATTTCAGTTGAAAGGCAGACTGTTAAATTATGATCCTTCCCAAATAAGCAGGCAGGGCCAAAGTAGTAGACAGGCACTGTACATGTCAGCCCCATTGTGAAAAAAGGAATCTCAGAATTCCCAGACAGACAAGGCCTCTGCCAGATCTCTATCTTCAATAGACTCCATGGCCCACTCTCAACAGTAGGATTTGAGGATAAAAATTACTCAATGAAGCCCCATTTCCTACAGAGCAGGCTACTTACCCTATGGTTATGAAATCTCCTTTGCTGACAGTGTCAGGTTCAATGCAAATGTTCATAAAGTCCTCTTTGCTCTAAAAAGGTCAAGGATACTAATGTTAATACCTGAAAACTGGGCTAATGCAGCTTGTCACCTAAGCCTCTGGTGACTCATATTTTGAACTAAAGAATTTATACAAAGACAAGAAGACAAACGTGTATTACATCTTATTTTTAAAGATTTAATCCTGAATACTATCTTTTTCATTAAAGGCTTTATTGTGGTATAATTAACATAAAATTCATCTCTATTGTTTTTTTTTTTTTGCTTTGTTAGTACAAAAGCAAAATATCTGAATAAAAATTCAAAGTAGGAGGTTTTTGAAGTTGTGTCACCCCTAAGCCATAGGCATTAAAACTCCTAAGCTTCCTTCTACCCCCTGCAGGCCAACCTTCCAGCCCACCCATGCCAGGTCTCACTCTTCACTACACATAATCATCTCATCATGCCACATCAGTTGCTTGCTATGGAAACACAGGTGTCTCTGTTCTATAAAATGCTCTGAATGCAAACATGGTATGCAGCTAGGGCTGAAAACAGCAACCTGTATATTCCCTGACAGTAAAGACAAAACTCTGTTCCATCTATGCAAAGCTTTGAAAGACTGATCTACAACGAAGCACTATGAAGAGAGATTGGACTTCTGTACCCTCCCTGCAGTTTGCTACTAGTTGCTAGCAAGCAATACAAGCCTGGCCTTCATGGAGCAAGCCCAGCACGGCTATGTGGCCTTCTGTGGTGGTTCAAAACATGTAGGCCAGGTCTCTGAGAACCTCTGCCTGAAGTTCAAGGACACCACCAAAGCACAGCTGAATCTCTCAACAAGGAATTATGAAACACAATTGTGACGTAAAGAACAAAGGCTGTGCAGGGTTGACTTTCCATTCAGCTCTCCGAGGGCCAGCCATGTATCATGAACTCTTCAGAACATTCAGTTACATCATTTAAACAAAACAAACATGAATTTCTTCCCACAAAGAACTTACATTCCACTGTAGAGGAACGCATATGTAGATACAAAATAATAAAGATATAGAATAAAAAAATAGTAGATTACTGAGAATAGTAAAAAGTAGGTATACTGCAAATATGTCAGAGTATATTAGAGAATGACATATTAGTATATTAGTATATTAGAGAAGGAGCCAGAGGCAGCAATTGATGGCAATGACTGTATTTTAAAAAGGAGTCTAGCACAGGGTTTGGAGTGATGGAGCTGGAACTGACCTGGAAGCCTCCTCCCTGAAGACTAGTTCTCATAATTCTAGAGAATACTGTGCAGATTGCTAAGGAGAAAAATCAATCAATGGTCCAACTCAGCTGTAAAGCCTAATAACCGTAATGACTGGCCCAGCAAACTATCTCTATTGGTGCAGTAGTGGCACTGTTATCTAGGGGGTAATGAAGAGCTATCTAATTGAACTTAAAGCCCTCTCAATGGGAAGGAATTCATGGATGGCACTGTAAATATTGCCAATTACATATGACTGGAGAGGTCATAGATCCTAAAAAACCCTATCTCTGTCATCTTTAGACAAATGAAATTTATTACTGTATGCTAAATATGAATTCTTATATTTACATGCAAGTATACTGTACACCAGTCATCAAAGCTTCGTTTTGCAGCAGATGGAGGCTATTACAGAGTTCCACAATTTGTCACACACAGAAAATAAATGTCTGAGAGATGTCCAGCCGTAAGAGATATCTACAGTGGAACCTCCACACTAAGGCTCATGGAACATAGTAGAGTTAGAATACTAATATATCCCTCAACTCTCTCTAGCAAAGCTTCCTCATACAACACAGCGTGATGCACACAGAAGGCCACAACTGGCCAAAGTTTTAGAGAATAAGAGACTTCAGAGTGTGTGTCCTTGGGTAGGACTCCTATATTAAACCTAGTGCTCAGGGACCATTTTGGAAGAGGGAGTAGAAAGATTTTAAGAGCCACGGTGTATGAACATAAGGAAACAGAGGCTTTCAGGCCTTAGGGAACTTGCTTATATGAACTTGCAACAATGATGACAGCATGCACAAGATCCATGCTGACTCAATCAGACAAAAATGCAGCACTGAACTGGAGAAATAGTCAGGAGGTCCCAATCTTAGCTGAGGAATTGTTGGCAACTGATTACTGCTGGGTGAGGGAGAGCAGATCTTCTTTAAGGGAGTGACTCTAGATAGGATGGCTAAGCTCCAGTGGAGGAACTTGCATCGAGGGACATTTTGGTACAAATGCTTGACCAGCTAAGACTTAACATATATGACAGAATGCACGAAATCTGGTGGGGGATATGGGACAGCACAGATGGGGCGGGGTATAAATTTGCTTAAGATCCAGCATATAAGAGCCGGGCGTGGTGGCGCACGCCTTTAATCCCAGTACTCGGGAGGCAGAGGCAGGCAGATCTCTGTGAGTTTGAGGCCAGCCTGGTCTCCATAGTGAATCCAGGTCAGCTAGGGCTACAGGGAGACCGACTCAAAAAAAAAAAAAAGATCCAGTATATGAAACGCACAAAAAAATCAATAAAGTATACATTAATAATAATAATAGAAAGAAGTGCAGAGAAGTGCAGGTGAGAAGGTAGCCCTGATCAGAAACCTGTGGAAGGGAGGAGAGTAGCAATGTCTTTATCCAATGCAGCAGTACTGAAATATCAGCAAGTATCCCTGGAGGGCCGATGAATACTAAGAATCTGTTTGTATTTGTTAGATATAAGTTAATCTACGAATAGATCCAGACTCCAGTCCCATACTCAAAGTTTCTAGTTCATTAGATCAGGTAAAAGTCTAAGAATTTTCATTTCAAAAAATTTCCCAGTGATGTGATATCTACTGATTGAAGACCACACTCTGAATACCATTATTCTAGGGATGAACCATCCACACAAAGGGAACTGCCTGGCTGTGGCCTTCAGGTGGGAGCATGTCTGACATGTTCAGAGAACAGCAAAGAAACCCACATGGCTGGAGGAGACTGAGGGGCAGCGGCAAGCGAAGCAATGAGGATGGAGAGGGAAGACGGCCTCTTGATGAGCGGGGCCTGTACCCACTTTAAGAAATCTGGCTTTTAGGCTGGGTAAAATGGAGAGCCAGTGGAGGGCTCCAAGGAAGGAAATGTTCTGGCTTCTTGTAATAGGATCACTCTGCCTGCTGTTGAGAATTAAGATAGGGATCTTATGCAGAAGCAGAGAGAAAAGAACAGAAATGAGGAGGAACAGCTTAGGGTTCAGTAAATGCCAGGACAGGAAGGTGTGATGAGAGGGCATGGCACTGGGAGCTGGCAGGAAGGGGAGGAAAGGTTTAAAGTGGTGATGAGTTAGGAAGAAAGCTATCGAGTCACTAGACCTAATGTGTAGAGGATAAAAGAGAAAGAAACAGGCATCACTTAAACCTGCTGTGGACTAGCAGGGCCTTGTTCCAGTCAGAACAGACATAAGCACATGTTTTCGGTTAAGGGCCAGAGACAGCAATCATCTCAAGTTTGTAAGACATGAGTTACCTACAATGGCCACTCAATTCTAATGTGGAATGCATAAAAAGCAGCCATGCAGCACTTAAATGTTAGTGTGTTCATGTTCCAATAAAATCTCACAGAAACAGAAATTTGAATTCTGTATAATTCCAATCATTTAAAAATATAACTACCTCCGGGTGTGGTAGCACACGCCTTTAATCCCAGCACTGGGAGGCAGAGGCAGGTGGATCTCTGTGAATTCGGCCAGCCTGTGGTCTCCATAGTGAATCTAGGACAGCTGGGGCTACAGGGAGATCCTGTCTCGAAAAGAGAAAACAAAACAAAACAACAAAAAGCTGAATATATATATATATATATATATATATATATATCCACCACTCCTAGTTTGAAGACAGGACAGCTGGGCCGTTGTTGATCCTTGTTCTTCAGTTCTGTTCTCAGGCAGACTTAAGTTACATGGAACCATGGTCCTGTGCAGGGTGGCCTCCTAGAGATAAAGGACAGCCTGGGGTCCTATTTTGTCATACTACCGAGAAAATGCCTTTCTGGGGATTCACCCCAGGTCTGACAACCATTTTCAGCTCAAGCTTCTGGAACACACTTCTTGGCCCTGGGATGTGACCGAATCTCCTGGAACTAAGCTTCTTTCTATTAGTTCTTTCTTCGCTCAGGTGGGTTCTCATATGCAAGACTTGGTCCCCACACAGTGGCCTCTCTCAAGTAGAAACCTGGTGGGTATGAACCTTACCTCACCTGAGTCCCTTCTATGAGATCCCTGTGCTTTGCTGCTTGCTCTTGCCAATGTCAAATGTCATTTAACAAAGTGTGTTGAGTGTTTAAGGTACAAAGGTAAAGCTATTGATTTAGCACTATTTTGGGCAAAGGTCTCATAACTCAACTTACTATACTAGCAGATTCAATGAGTATTTTATCATCTTAAATGACAGAAAGCTACTTGATAAAAATTAATGTCTAAGATATTTAAAATCTAAGAAACTCAAAAACCCTTACCCACTTAGCAAAGCTTTCTTCAGAAGAAACGTCCATATCTGATAAAAGGTAGCTAAAGAAAATCACAGCGGATTCAAACATGAAGAACTGGAGGCACTTTTCTCACACATGGGGAATTAGACAATGACTCCTGTGGTCACTTCCTCTGCTCCGTACTCAAGCCCTAGCCAGTGCAGAAAAGTGGGCCAGAGGACTATAAAATAAAGCATTTAAAGGAAGAAACAAAACTGGCACCCTTTTCAGCTGATAAAAAACAATCTATAGCAAATCTGAGAGAATCCATAGACAAACCTAATATAAAGTAGTGAGAATTTAATTAGGGAGACTGCCAGAGAGTGCTGAGTTCTGGCCTCCCTCTGGCCTCCCTGTGACAGAGGGCCTGAGAATGCCACCCCTCCATCCTGCCTCCACCTGGTGGTGAGCTTCCCCTAATTGCACCATACCCTAATCCCCCTAACCTGGGATTTTGTGAGGCCACTCCCAAGGTCCCAGGGCAGATCTGGCTTTGGTAGGCTAAAGCTCAGATCCTAGCAGACAGCTTG